ATTCATCTCTCGGTCAGGCAGAGTCCTGCGTGCATCCAACAGCTTGTCTGTTCTCTCACACCAACAGAAACGGTGAAAACCTCACAAATCTTGCTTAACACTTTGCAAAATGCTCTCTCTCTCGTCTGCCTTCTGCGCTGAACCCCAGCTGTGGGGTCTTTTCTTTCTATAGCATTATGATGCCATCAAAGCACAGAGAACAGGAAAATAAAACCCACTGCAAATTGGGCAACCTGAGTGGGCTGCCTGCCTACAGAGCAGGTAAATAAAGGGGAAATGATGAAGAGAAAATGGCAACATTTCCACTAGAGGGGATGTTGCACTGGTACACCTTTCAGGTATCACAATAGATTTATCTACCATAATTATGTACACAGATCTGTCTGTCTGTCTGTCTACCTATCTCAGTGCTGATCCAAAAATAGGCACCAAGTATGCTGCTCCATTTTGCAGGCAGAGAATTTGGGGTCCAAAATGCAAAACAAATATTTTTTGGGGGGGAAGGGGAGGAATGATGTGCAAAAATCTGCCAAGATTTAAAGAGGGTGTGTCCATTTGAGGTGTGTGAGTGCCACAGATTATTCTTTTTAAAACCCTTTCCTGCCACCAACTCTGTGTCATTCTAAGGCAATGGAGGAGTGGGTCATAGCAGCTTTGGCTCTGCAAATGTTGTGGGACTTCAGCTCTAGCCAGCATGACCAATGGTCAGGGATAATGGGAGATGGAGTCCAGCAATACCTGGGAGACCATGGGTTCCCTATCCCTGTTCTAAGGATGGAAGAGAATGGGGGTGCCATAAATGGATTCCTTACCCCCAGAGTTACATCACATCCATGATAGGGTGCAGTCAACAGGATGCCCTCCAGATCTTCCTGAACTATAGCTCCCACCACTGTGGTCCATTGGCCATGCTGGTATCATTAGTAGCTCCTTGACAGAGAGGAGGCAAATGAGCTTGAGGAGATGGTGTTGTTTGATGAGCTCCTGAGCCAGTTCACTGCTTGAGAGAATCTGGGCAATGCAAGGCTTGATCCACACTGATCATGGCATTACTAGTCTGCTAGTGGTGGCTATGCACAGGGGGGTCTCACTGTAGTTTGACTGCAGCTGCTTGGAAACCTGGGCTAGCAAGTGCCTGGGTATCGTGACCCCAAAACCCAATGCATCCAGAACCTCCAAGCTCCTGAGATGTTGGCCCCAAACTCTGGACGCAGCAGGTGACAAGCCAGGTTAGCAAAGATGCCTTCTGAACACCAATAAGCAGATCAAGGCTGGTGCTGTTGCCATCCTGGGCTCCTTCAGGTGGAAGGGCGGGGTGTAACTTGGAGTTGCCTGACTCATGCAAAAGCTTCCAGAGCAGGTCACGAGCTGCGTAGATGGTAAGGAGTTTAACACAAAAGATCTTCACAAGCCACTGCAAAGCAGCTCATCTGTTGAAGGTGAGCAAAGAGTGGTACAGTGGTACCTCGGGTTACAGACGCTTCAGGTTACAGACTCCACTAACCCAGAAATAGTACCTCGGGTTAAGAACTTTGCTTCAGGATGAGAACAGAAATTGTGTGGCGGCAGCAGGAGGCCCCATTAGCTAAAGTGGTACCTCTGGTTAAGAACAGGTTCAGGTTAAGAACGGACCTCCAGAACAAATTAAGTTCTTAACTCGAGGTACCATTGTAACCTCCTTCACCCATTCAAGCTGGAAGAGAAACTTGGGAGGAAGATCTGGAAAACCGCTGAGCATCTTGAGTTGGGCAAATGAGTCTCCTGCCCCGGGGAACAATGCAGGTCAGTACCATCATCACTCAGCATGTTCCTAGATCCCAAAACAAGTTCCTTAGCCAGGCGTTTGGGTTGACTGGTGTGCTGAGGGCACTTCCAGGGCAAACACGTCTCTGAGCCTTTCTTCACCCTCCCCCCTTTCTCTCATGCACACACACATGCACACACTTGCAGCTGCAAACCTTGTCGCCTTGAAAATAAAGGATCCCCAACACGGTCAAATCAAATAACAAACACGCTCTCAGCAACTGGGGAGGGCGCCTTGGTCCCCCCCCCCCAAGCCTAATCGGAATGAACATCCGGCAATTCATTTCCTCAGCCTGCCTGGCCCATGTTCTTGTCAAGGAAAAAGGTATTGCTGACCTCCCTTTGTTATGACTTTCCTTGTCACCTTATCGGCCCCGGCGCAGCAAGCAGGGGAGATAGTTTTGAAAAGACAAATAATTAAAGGGATGAAATGTGAAAGGGAACAAAAATCTACAGTTCAGCTCCATTTAAGATACTGTGAAGTCAACACTTACAGTCAAGGTGCCAATTTGAGACGCCTTTGCCACCTTGTTATGAAGCGATAATATGTAGCCTCTGGCTAAGTTCACAAGAGCTTTTAACAACCTCCTATACATCAGGCAGACATATATGATGGCGTGGGGGGGGGGCGCAAAGGGGCTACTTACCAACCATGATTTCAAGGCGGACAGGGCGTGTTTGTGGAGATGGGTTAGAGTTATTGTAATGGGAGCTACCCAAGCGCACACACGTGCCTTTATTGTACATTTATGGGTAACAGAGGCAGGAGTTCACACTTAGGGCCTCTTTTATCACCCAGTAATGGTGCTTCTCTCCCAAGGGAGTGGTAAATTAACACATGCCATCCACAGCATGAATTTACACCCCTTTATATAAAAGTAACCCAACACCCCAGCCTCTGGAGGACCAGCTATCTCGGAATGCCTTCGGGCAAAGAAAACATTGTTATGCCTCCCGGCACCATAGTGAGGAGAGGAGAGGACTCTCCGTGCACAGTTCAAATAAGCATGCTTATCCCTTCCTTCTCCAAGGAGCTCAGAGTGGCTGCTATGAAACACAGAGCCCCCTCCTGCCACAGGTTTACCTTCACAACAACCCTGTGAGGAGCGTTGGGGTGAGAAACACCTGCAGCACCATGGACTGCCTACTCCCTGCCTCAGCTACTTGCCTGCCAACCAGATGCCTGCACGGTCAAGGAATGAATGGGACAGCGAGAGTTTTTTTGGGTGCTCTGTGTGATGATTTACTGCAAACAAAAGACTTACCAGCTTTTTTTAAAAAAGGGAGAGCCTTACAAAGTTCACACAGAAACATAATAACATAATAATGCTTGCCTTAACTCGCTTGTGGAAACAATTCAGAGGTTATTAAGAAGAAAAACGATAACAACAAGAAGATCGAAAGATGGGACTTGTGAATCCAAAAGCAGCAGAAATATGAGATGATCGGACCCTTACTGAACTCGAAGCATGGTATGATTTGGAATAACTAATGTGACATGATTGAATTGTTAAATGGAAAACTTAATAAAAAATTATTTAGAGTTTTTTGGGGTGCTAACTATGAACCCCAGTTTGATGTATCTTATCTACCACTCAGTTTGTTTGTTTGTTTGTGTGTGTGTGTGTGTGTGTGTGTTGCAAAACACAGGGTCTGCACTGCAAAACCCTGAAAAAAAGAACAGCAGAACTTTGCCACCAGTTTGGAAGGAGTCCCAAATGAAGCAGAAGAAGATTGCTCTCAAAACATACAGGGAAATTTTGCAGCAACTCCTTGAGCAACTTCCAGAGGACCAGACGTGCTGGTCTGTTGCCACAAAAGCAGCAGCGACTTGTTAAAGACTAACAGATTTATTGTGGCAGAAACGTTTCGTGGACTGGAGCCAGCTTTGTTGGAGGTGTGAAACGCTACCCTCCGCCGGCGAGCGCACACAGAGTTGTACCCAGTAGTCATTCTGCTCAGAGTAAACCTTTCGACGGGTCTTCTTTGAGGAGGTCTGACACCGGATGCAACTCGAGACGCACACAGGAAAGTGGATATGAAGCAAAAGAGGGACAGGAGGCCAGTGACATTTCAGCATGAAGCTCAAACGCACCCAAGATGAACACGGTGCCCCTTCATGACAGCAGAAACTGGCCACCAACCAGGGCGGCTTTAAAAAAAGGATTAGACAGAAAGTTCATGGAGTGTAAGGCTACCCATGACTACTAGCCAGGATGGCTAAGCTCTGCCTCTGTAGTCAGAGGCAGTGATGCTTCTGAACACCAGTGTGTAGAGGCTGCTGGAGGGGAGGGAGCTGTTGTGCATGGATCCTGCCCACAGGCTTACCATAGGCATCTGGGCAGCCACTGTGAGAACTGGACTAGATGGGCCCCCTTTGGCCTGTTCCAACATTTCTCCAATGAAAATAGGGATGTCCTATTCCATCATCATCATATTATTATCATCCCACCCATCTGACTGGGTTACCACTCTGGGCAGCTTCCAACACCTATAAAAACATAATGAAACATTAAACATTAAAACACTTCCCTATACAGGGCTGCCTTCAGATGTCTTCTAATCAGGTTGTATAGCTACTTATCTCCTTGGCTTGGGGGTCGCCTAACTGCATACCCTCCAACACATTTCTGATGAAAATAGGGACGTCCTAAGGAAAAGGGGGACGTTCCGGGATCAAATAAGAAATCAGGATGGCTTCTGTAAGTCCAGGACTGTCCCTGGAAAACAGGGACACTTGGAGGGTCTGCTATTTTCTTATATACTGCTTTATTTACCATGCTAATTTAAAAGCTCTCATGGGAAAGGAAACCAAGGTCTTGATTGAGTCCTAAATGAACAGAGCCTAACACTGATTTTTATTTTATTTTTTAGAACATAACACTGATGAATTCTAAATAAATCTGCCCCCTTCTTTTTGAGCCAGCACCTATAGGTTGTTATCTGACTAAATCCTACACAGAATTGACCCATTGAAATCAACAGATGTTAGCCAGGTCCATTCGTTTCCATGGGCCTACTCTGAGTAGGACCAACATTGGCTTCAACCCTATGCTATGCTATAGAAGTAATGTGTGGTTTGAGTTTAAGACTGGAGACCAGAGCCTGCCAAGATCCCACAAATCTGCTCTTGCAGTTGGGGGAAAAATCAGCATCACAACGGTGAACTCGACAGCAGGATGATGCTTGGCAAATGGCAGCCAGCCCTGCGATCTCACAACAGCCAGATGTGTTTGAGCCTCCCAAGCTACTAATTCTCAACAGCAGAAGGGAAACACTCCATTCTGCCATTCAGCTGGGCCAAAACTGACAGCAAAGCCAACTCGCATTCCTGGCAGTATTAATCGCTGTAAATACAGGCCTGTTTTCCATTGCTAGAAGTCTGGTGCTGTCTAAACACACACAAACTTGTGTTTCTCTCTACACACAGAGACAAGTCCTTCACTTTGTCAAACAAGTCTCTTAGCGCAGAAGCCTTTCCAAGGATTTGAAAAGGAACTGGCACAGATTGCATCCGAAGGAAAGACATTCCCTTTGCTGGTGAGGAGTGCGAGTCCTTCTAGAAAGCAGGGCTATTACTAAAATTTATTCCGCAGCCTGCAGTGGATCTCTTGGCACTACAGAATATGTGGAAGTACAAGAGGCAACCTCATTACAAGATGCTTCCTTCCAGCCTACCTACCAAGGTATAAATTAGGAGTGGTTCAAATCTCAGAGGTAAAGGCCAAGAAGCAATCTTCTCTGCTGGAAGAGTTGCAACCCAACGGCCAAGTGTTTTACCCTCCTAGCTAGACCCTGACCCCTTCCTCATCTCGAAGAGAGTAAGTGAACACCCTAGCCCAGGAAAAAGTCACCTGCGGATTCTCTCTCTCTCCGGGCTCAACTGCCTTTTATTAATTGTTATTCTGTTCATCGCCAGTAGACATGGCACTTCCCAGAGAAAAGATAAAGAGGTCTGAGCTCCACAGAGCAAACCCTTTAAACATGGGCAAGAAAGGGGGACTGAGAGAGGGAAGGGAGGAAGGAAGGAAGGAGGGAGGGAAGGAAGGAAGGAAGGAAGGAAGGAAGGAAGGAAGGAAGGAAGGAAGGAAGGATCTCTTCCCAAGCATCCAAGAATGCTAAGAGTCTACACAGATTTTCACTAAGGGATGCTGGCTGGGTCTGCCTGCCAACTATCCATCCATCCATCCATCCATCCATCCATCCATCCATCCATCCTTTCTTTTCCCAAGAGGCCTGAGGTTGAGCACAACAATCAAAAGCATAAAATCATCAAGTTATTTAAAAAACAAAAAACTGAACAATAAAGAGGCCACAGAGAGAGAGATTAAAACAACTCGTATCTGTAGAAAGGTCAATTGGTTAGAACATGGTGCTGATAATGCCAAGGTTGCAGGTTCAATTCCTATATAGGACAGCTGTGCATTCCTGCACTGCAGGGGGTTGGACTAGATGACCCTCAGAACCCCTTCCAACTCTATAATTCTGTGAAATCACTTTGCAGCAGTACAACTGCCCACAAATACCTGCTAGTTCTGGGTCATTGGATTTCCACCTCAAAAGAATTACCATATTTTTTGCTCTATAAGACCCACTTTTCCCCTCCTAAAAAGTAAGGGGAAATGTGTGTGCGTCTTATGGAGCGAATGCAGGCTGCGCATCTATCCCAGAAGCCAGAACAGCAAGAGGGATTGCTGCTTTCACTGTGCAGTGATCCCTCTTGCTGTTCTGGCTTTTGAGATTCAGAATTTTTTTTTTCTTGTTTTCCTCCTCCAAAAACTAGGTGCGTCTTGTGGTCTGGTGCGTCTTATAGAGTGAAAAATACGGTAACTTGTGCCTCCCCTTCTAAAGCCATTATCTTCGGGGCCATTGCCACACTTTGTGGCAGCAACAGTTCTCCTCAATGTGAACCATAGATCTGGAGGTGAGGTAGCACAATTATGTTTTTTCAAGTGTCTGTTGATGGAGGAAACTATTTAATGCCTATATTCTACCCAGAGCATGGAAGGTGTTATCAAGAAACATTGCCCTGATGAGGTAACTCGCAAGGTTGGAGCAGAACATGCAGGGAGGAATCCACACCCCATGAGAAGGAGAACTTCTAAGTTTTCCATTCCCCACCTAAAGACATCTAAGTCCAGAACCAGATGATCAATGTTTGCTGATCAGATGCCTGGCTCTTTCTCTCTCTCTCTTCCACGGGGGTTGGGAAAGTCGACCAATTCAGGCATTTTGTTTATCACCATTTGTCCTTTGAAAAGGCAAATCATAGGGCTTAAAACATTAATCCGGAATGATTAATTGATTGTCTCATTAATACAGATTAAGCTGGGGATTCTTAAATAGCCGTTTAATTGGTGCTCATCTTTTGTCAAAGAGGGTCCTGTTCTGATGGCATTGTTGAGCGCAATCTTTTGATTCCAACAGTAGGGCGCTTAGGATGGCTCGAGAAACAAGGAATGGCTTCTTTTGTTGTTTTGCTCAGGGGAAAACTACAATCTCCCTTAGCTTCTGATTTCAAATGTGATACCTTCTCACTTTAGTGACGTGTTTTTGTACAATGCTTTTGGAAACTTATGGGTGGCATTCACCTGATGGGCCCTGTCAGTAAGAGCCCCTGCACATGGACTTTGGCTTACAAAATGAGGCATCCCCACCATCCCGCTGAATTGTCTTGGAGGGGTATCAAGGGAACCCCCAAAACAGCGCTGGTTGGGAGAAGGGATTGGTTCATTTGGCAAGCTGAAAAGCCTGTAGAAAGGAAATGAACATCTGTAGCAGCTCAGTGTTGAATCTCAACCTTAACATGGAGAGGCTTGCTTTGCAAACAATGGAGGAGAGCAGTTTCCAAAAGAGAAGCGGGTGTTCTGGTCCGTGCATAGCTTCAGGAATTGCAGATGAGGGAGATCTATATAAAAGCCAGGGCCCAACCCTACCTCACACTGATGGAGTAAGCCAATCTGATGTTTTGATGTGCTGTAAACTGCTTTGAGATGTTTTGCTTAAAAACATATAAAGCAACCTAGAAAGGAAATGAACAACAGCAGCAACAGTAATAGTAACAACAACACCACTCTATCATCCTCAGCGCCTTTGGAGCAAGACAGATGCCTGGTCTGACCCTCTCTCCAAGGGTGAACTGACATAAACTATCTGTCTACCAGCATTAAAAGTAAGTAGTTTCACAGAAGAGAGCCTTTGTGGGGCAGAAGCTGGAGGTAGTGTTGAGAGCAGGCACAGCACCCCCCCCCCCACACACACATCAATGGAGAAATGAATGTTGAGTTGCTTACAGGTCATCAAAGGTAAAAACAGGCTTGAGAATAGCTCTGGCTTTAGAGAGCAAAAGGAACAGCAACGCAAAAGAGGCACATGAATTTTTAAAGCTATTTTCTAATTTTAACAAGCTGTTGCCATGAACTAGGAACCCAGTTCTGGACAGAGAGTCGAACTGCCACTGCGTGTATAAATAGTTTGGCTGGCATTGCTCTTGCGTTGAGGGGGGGGGGGAAGAAACACACCAAAAAAAAAGTCCTTAGGGAGCCTAAACGCAAATCTGCAAACTTGAAAGAAGCTCAGGTCAGGACACCAAAAGCTGCGTGCAAACTCCACATGCAGGCTCACAGAGCTGTTTTTCAGCACTGAAGTCTGTTTGCCCTCTTCGGGTGGGTGGCTTTGCGGACAGGCTGAATGTAGGTGGCGTTCCCCTGGATGGAGTGCCAACTGACCAGTAGCAACACTTGGCACCGCACCCAGGGGAAAGTTAAATACTCAGCCTGCAGGGCCTTTTGGCCTCTTGCTCTCCATGCCGGTTGCCCTGCTCTCCACCAAACTGCAAGAGGATTTTCAGGTGGGGAACCAGCCTTTGAGAGTGGAGGCTGACATCCACGGGGATACCAAATTTCCAGCTTCAAAAAGTCAAAGTGGCACAGAACACCATGTTTGGAATGACATATGGCCAGGAGCTGCCTGAGAATCACTTACACAGCCCTGACCCCAAATCCCTCCCTTGTCATGCTCTGATATAGAGGTATCAGCAAGGACTCTGATCATGGATGCTTCATTTGGCACTGCGAAGGCTTTCCATCTTCCTTATCCCAGCTTTCACCCTTGACGCAGAATGGATGCCTCATGGAGGTATCTGAAAGGGGATTAGCCATCTCTGCCACTGCCTCCCCATCCCCACGCTTTCTCTTTGCAAAGCTGTCTGACCTTGGGGAGGTGATCGAAGGATGCCCATTTCCGCCAGGAAGGTGCTCAAATGAATCACGCGCTTGCACTTCAGCACAACAAAGTCACAACCCGTCCTTGGGGCTGATTAAGGCAATTTAGTTTCGTGAGGCAAGAGCTGCTCATGGACGAGCTCACACCAGAAAAAGGGGCTTTTGGTCGGCTCGCCCAAATCTCCATCAATTCTCCAGGCAGAGGAGAGATTCACTGAGGAGCTGATTATTCCCACCAAGGAAAAGATCCATGGAACAGAGTCATGAGAAGGAGTGAGGAAAGAGCTAGAGGCCCCTTCAAACGGCCATTTTCAACTGAAGCCAAAGCAATGACACTACAGCCATAATGTACAGTGGTACCTTGGGTTAAGAACTTAATTCATTATGGAGGTCCGTTCTTAATGTGAAACTGTTCTTAACCTGAGGTACCAGTTTAGCTAATGGGGCCTGCCGCTTCCGCCGCGCCATCGCTGCACGATTTCTGTTCTCATGCTGAAGCAAAGTTCTTAACCCAATGTACTATTTCTGGGTTAGCGGAGTCTGTAACCTGAAGTGTCTGTAACCTGAGGTACCACTGTACCTCAGTTTAAGAACAGCCCTATTTAAGAACTATTCGGTTTACGGACTCCGCAAAACCGGAAGTAGTGTCCTGGTTTATGAACTTTACCTCGGTCTAAGAACAGAATCCGAATGGTGGAAGGGCACTAGCAGCCTCATTAGGGAAAGCATGCCTCAGTTTAAGAACGGTTTCAGTTTAAGAACAGACTTCCAGAACAGATTAAGTTCATAAACCGAGGTACCACTGTATTTATTTTACTTTACTTATTTCCTTTATATCCCGCCTTTTTCTCCAAGGAACTCATCACGCTTGTCAAGCACTGTGAAGGAAGTTGCATGCATGCCTTTATCAATCTTAACAACAACGCTGCCAGGAAATGATCCTCATTTTGCAATTGTGAGAGGAGGGCTGCAGCTGGCTAAGCAGCGGCTTCCTTAAGGCCAGCTGGACTCTGATGTCAATAAAACAAACTAAATTAAAAAACCCTGCCTGTGGAAAACCAGGTGTCAGAGAGAAGAAGGCTACTCTAACATTCTCCCAGGTTTTGATAGCTGGATATCTCATTTGGTTAGAGTGTGGTACCAATAATGCCAAGGTTGCAGGATTGATCCCTCATATCGGGCAGCTGCATATTCCTGCCTAGATGGGATCCTCAGGGTCCCATCTAACTCTATGATTCTATGATATCCTAGCTTTCTGTGCTGAGATAATATATGTTTGCAGCAGAACATTCAGTCTTGTGAGCCTTCCGTCTTCAAAGTGGTACAGTCCCGGACAGCTTTCCTACCTCATCCTGGCTATACCCAGTTAGTTGGTAGAGTCTGATACTGACCAGCTCAGCAGCCCCTCTCCCTGATGCAGACAGGGGACACCCAAGGGCCAAGAGTTCCTTCATGCTGGGAGGAGTGCAGGCTGTAGCCTCTGTACCTTGGACCAGTGGTTGAGCTCTGTCCTCCTCACCCCCACTCACTCCATCAGGAGGCAGATCCCCAGCCCCACAGCAGTGACCAGAGGAGAACCAGGCACAAAGCAGGATTTAAACCCTGCCGTGCTGCTAGTGACATAAACTGGCATGCAACAGAATCTGCAAGGGTGTGTAACTGGAATAACTGAGCTGGTTTCTGGATTTTCCGAGCCCAACAGTGAGTTGAGCTGCCTGCCCCTTCTTGCCACCCTTCAACCACCTCACACTCCCTTAAATTGTGACTTCTGCTTGGCTACACATTCCTGGCTCTTTCACAACCCCAGAGCTCCTTTTGACAACATCTCAAGCCTCAGAATGCCCAAGGGTTTCTGCTTGCCCCCCCCCCCCGCAACTCCCAGGTCAGAAAGAAATAGCTGATCAGAGCAAAATGCTCCAGGTTCAATGGCCTCCCTTCTCAATTTTCTTTCTTAAATAAGCTTTTCCAGTAGCTGGGCTGGGGAAGGCCTTTGCTGGGCACATGCCTGCTGATCTAGACAGTGCCTAGGCAGACCAAAGGCCTGATTGCTGAGGTACGAAGTCTGGTCTCTGGTCTCCCAAGGTTCCTCAGAAGAGAAGGCCAAGACTCAACTCAACAGATAATTAATTGGCTTAGGATTTTATATAAGTTAGGTGATGAATTAATATGTTTAATTTCAAAATGAAAAGATTTAAGGATGTTAATGTTCAAGTTAAATTTTATAAGAACTGTGATTTGGAAAACCGTTAAAAGGATATGCATTGAAATTCAACCAAGGGGAAGCAAGGAAGTCACTTAACAATGTTAATAAGTGCAATTTTTAATAAGGTTATGATTTATGTTTGTTTGTTTGTTTATAATTTTGTGAAAATTAATATATTTTTTTTGGAAAAAACCCAAAAAACTCAACTCAGTTCACTCAGGGAGGCAGTGAGAAGAAAATGGACCCTGGATTTCAGAGCTTTGGAAAAAGTCTTCTGTTCTTATGTCAGCCAAAAACGGAAATGCTATCACTCTTAAACGCTGACACGTTTATTTCTCCATTGATTATAGCAGAGCTGGAAATGAACATTCTGTCTGGCCTGATTGCCCTTTGGACTACTCTGGAAGATGAAAGGAGAGCAAATAAGGAGGAAGGGGCAAAGAGCGCTGTCCTCTCCCCAACCCATTTTGCAGCCCTATGCTGGATCTTCTCCCTGTCATCCGCCAGTTTCCTCTGATTGACACAGAATTTCACACAACCGTTAGAAGCCAGTAGATCCCACTGATGGTCAAGGGACAGAAGGGTGGGACCATGAAGCCCATTTTCTCAGGATTACGTCCTTTTAAAAATAAAAATAAATAAATCAAACTAAACACTGAGCCGCAAACCTTAACCTGCATCTCATGTGGAAATAATGTTCAAGTAGCTGATTTGTGGTTAGTAGACAGCAAGCAATCCTTAAAACAACTGATGGGAGATCGACCGACCGATAGATAGAGCCTAGATACGAGTTTATTTTGCTATGCTTTACAAAATGGAACAGGCTATTGGCACCCCCTGCATCACGCCACCTCTCTCTAAAAGCATCCTCAGGTCTCCTCACAAACTCGCAGGGCCTCTCACATGGAAACAACGGGAGACCCACAAACATTCCTACAGTGGCAGCACAATAAATCTTCCCTTTTACTCAGGATTGCACGTCCCATTTCAAACTGACACACAGGCCAGATTTATTTTTTAAGAGAGATGCTGAACTCTCGAGCTCACAATTTCTGCACCACTTGCAGCCCAGGGATTCACAGTGGAAAGGGTGAGTGAGGAAAGAGCTTCCCCACCCTGGGCTCAGTCACAAATCATCTCCACTCAACGGCGAGGCCTGAAGCTTTGCCAGTAAGTAACGCAGACGTAACTGGAAAAAGAGGCAGCAGCCCTAAAACCCCTTTGCCGGCAGGGCTCGATGGAGAAGACGCCCAAGGCTCAGCCCGTATTCACCAAGCTTACAACTGAACTTCACAGCACAGAAGGGTGCTTCAGCCTACCAGAATCAGATGGGTGTCAAGGGGGTCTTCAACTTGAGCCCCACCACCAGCACTTGGCTCAGGCAAAAAGAGGGGACCAGACAGACTTACAGCCCCTTGGCGCTCACAAGTAATAAGGCTTTTCTGGTGAGGTTTGAGGTCTTCAATTGGCCGCCATTCACTTTCTCCTCCTTCTCGGCCTTGCATCCTCTCTGCCTCACCTACAACTTGACACCAAAGAAGATAGTTGACTTTGATGCCTCAGGTAAAGATACTATGAATAAAATTGCACCCCCCCTCCTCTCAATTTCCTTCCTAATCCAATCGCTGTTGTTCACCCACCTCTGTTCAATGCCAGCAAGCTTTCTTTCACTCTGCTGGTGCAGTTGGTGCAAATTGTTCCATTTCAAAGCCACCAGTCTTGGTTCCTCAGACTGGTCTTGCAATGCCTCTGCAGTTTGTCGCTTCAACACACCACAAGAAACAGAAAAAGCAGGTCTCCTCATCCAATCCCTTCTCACAAACAACAACAATGGAGTCCGCCAACAGGAATTCTTCGAAAAAGAAGCAACCATTTCATTTCCAACCACGTGGCAAAGAAAACATCTGTGACAACATTTGTGCGACCGAAACGCTTCCCCAAACCGGAGGTAGCTGGGATCCCTCCAGAATCCTCAAGAGATCTGCTTCTCACCATAAGATACAAAGGCCATGTCTTACCTGAAGAAGCCAGTAGCACCTTCTGTGGAAAGTGGGGATGATTGAAGAATGGACGTAGCAACCATACAGGCACTAAAGACGGGGAGAAAGAAGAGAGAAAAAATCCAGAGTTATAAGAGGGAAACCATGAATCTGCATCGAGCACAGCAGCTCTAACCGCCCCCACTTCCATGGCTGCCTCTTGGCAAATGGAGCCTGGTGACTTTCTGCCTCTGAACTGAGACATAGACTTTTCCTGCAAAGCAGTGTGTGCATTTCTGGGGAAAGGGCATATAGGGCAGAGTCCTCACTCAGGTGAAAGGTCACCAGCTCCCTCTCAGCTTTCCAAACATGCCTTCCTGGTGCACACCGGTTGCGCCAGCGAAGAGGAAGAAAGGCTCACAGATCTACAGGGCAATATTATGTACGCTTCCATTTCAGAAGGAGCCGCATTGGCTCCAAAATTGCATGGGAAGAAGAGAAGGGAAAAGGTGCCAAACTGATCTGGATTTCAAGTTATTACCACTGGAGCCTTTTTTTTAATACTGCCTCAGCAAGCAAGTTTAGCACCCTTCAGTGCCAAAGCATTTTAAAATATTAACGCTATTAAGAGCTATATGCACTGTAAATATTTTAAAACGAGCTGCTCTGTGTAAATATTAGCAGCACCCGGATGCCATAAAGCAGAGGATTAAGATAAAGCAGGTCTCGGATAAAGCAGAAACTTTTGCTTCCTGCCTCTCTGCTTCTGAAATAAATACCAAAACTAAATAAGTTATGAGATGCCACTTCTCCTTCTGAAGATATTAACTCCCCCACCCGAGTTATTTCTGGATTTCTTAAGGAGTTTTCCCAACGGCACAAAATGCCATTCAGGAATCATCCCAGGAGCTGGTGATAGCCAGAGGTCTCTTCCATCAGTTCTGGAGGGAGAGATTATTTGTGTCTGTTTTTATGAGGGCTGAGTTCTTTGGATTCCTCTGAATATTTCTGCAGTCTGCAGGCTAGCACTGGATCTTTGGGACCCTCGTCTACAAAAGAAGGCACATGTGCTTTTTGAAGGTGGAGTGGATCTGAATTCACGTTGTCCTTTGTAGCTGGCTTAACTGTTTGCCGTGTACTACATATGTTTCCAACATGGTGCCCTCCATGTTTTATGGACTATAACTCCCATCCATCCCAGCCATGCTGGCTGGGGCTGATGGGAGTTGTAGTCCAAAGTATCTGGCAAGTACCAGGTTAAAAAAGGACGATGTACCCCATTCCAGAAAGGCACCTCTTCAAGCACTGTCTAAGCACACGGAGGTGAATCGTTCTTATGTATCACAAACATTTCACTGCACATCTCCTTCTGGCAACTCTTGCAGCCAAGCTGGTGCCAAACGTATTGCTCTGTTTTCCTTTGGACAGCATTAGTGAGGCCTAGAGGGGGGTTTTGTCATCTGGACAGCCCAGGACCTCCATACACACTACTCAGGCTTACAGCTCGGGGAAGTCAAACCCCCCCCCCCGGAGGTGCACTCCATTCTATCTCGAGACAAACAGATGCCAACTACAAGAGAATATATATCATTGGGTGGCATTCAGCTAAGTTTTACTTACAGTAGACCTATAGAAATTAATGAACTCGACTTCCTCCATTTCAGCGGGTCAACTGTGAGTAAAGCTTACCTAAAGAACCGTCTGTTATCTGCAACTTGCTTAGCTGCACTTCAACTTGACCATCAAGTTGCTTTCTGCATTATCAACAACAACAACACCATCAATACCACGTACCGGCAGCTCCCGGGGCATATTACAACAATGGAAATTGCAAACAGTTAGAACAGATTACAACCACAGCAATGGAATGGGCCTTGAAAACACACATCACAGGTGCCAAAGTCAGGATAAAGAGGTGCATCTTCAGAATACGCTGGAAGCTGCATAGTGAAGAAGCAAGGTGTCCCTCTGTGGGGAGGGAGTCCCAGATGCCTCCACAGAGAAGTCCCTCATCCAGGCTATAATTCCCAACACTTCTGCGGGCGGTGAAACTACCAAGAGGGCCCTGAGAGGGTCTGTAGGGAAGGAGGCAGCATTTCTGATATTTCATGCATCTGATGATAACATTCTCAACCCTGCTGCCTGTTTGGGACACATATCTGTACCTGTGGCTTTCACACTGGCAGAGAAAATCACGGATATCCATCATGCCCTGACTTTATTGTCAGCTACCAGCTGTCTTGCCTTTGTGCACTGCCTTGTCTCTATGCTACGCCTTCCCGCTGCCATAGGGCTCTCCTGGAAATCACCCTGCAGTCACTAACCCTGTTTCTGGGTGATGTTCTCCTTCCCATTTATTTTTCCCTGATAGCAGCAGGTTCAGAATCCAACATGCAGAAATGTCAAAAAAGAAAAGAAAGAAGATTTGAAATACTGGCACCTTTCTGCATAACAGGATCAAGTGAGAATGGGCAAGCATAGAGATGTATGCAACATACAGAACATACAAAGCATTATCGGAGATTGGATTTGGGATACTCACAAACCCTAGCCCTAACCTCAACAGTGGTTGTGCTTGCACAGAACCCCCGCACGATGATGCGTGGCTTGCACGCTTCCCCTTCCCCACCTCTGCCACAAGACAGAGTTCAGAAGCTTCCGCTTCCATTTTTGACCTCATGACATCTGAACACAAACAAACCGCAGCTAAACGTCACAATGGTTTGTTGAGACTAACCAGCTTCAGTCTGAGGGTTACAAACCTGGTTTGTTTCAAGAAAGACTAACCACCGTTTAGAGTGTAATGCTAAACTGTGGTTCCTAAGAAATGGAAACAAGCTTATTGACCTCCTCTGAGCAGCTGTGCCAGCTGTGGACCCAAGGGTTGCCCTTGCATGGCTTAGCATCATGTGGAAATACAGCTAGTGCCTTGAAGACCTATATCAAGAGGTGCAAGGGCCAGCATCGTCTTCTGACTCCACATGTTTAGCTAAGGAAGCGTCTGTGGGAGAAGTGTGTGCAGATCTCTATGAAGTGGAGGGCTTGAGGTTGGACTAGGACCCCAAAAGCTCCTGGGAGTGTACAGACTGCGGAGTGCCCTCCTATGTGAGCTGACACTGGAGATGACAGTGATTAAGAAGGAATCTGTGGCCCAAGCCAGATCTTGGAGCACCACACCATCATCAGAGTCTGCAGCAGAAGACAAAGGTTCTGTTGGGCTAGGCTGCTTGTTGGAGCAACTTGGGGCGGCCTTTGAGCTGTCCTTGGTCCTGGCTGGTTTTCACTGTGTCCTGGCTATTTCTCAAGCCTGCACATCCCAAGTGTTATGCCACTTGCTCATACTTCTGGTTTCCACCACCAGTGGATGGCTTCATGCTTCTTCCCACGGTTGCCTTGGTCTTGCCCAGCACCCCACAAACCATACCCCGTCAGAACAGGATAAGAACCAAAAGCCTTAAACTCAATTGTTCATCCTCTCCTTGCCTTCATTTGCAATCCTTGTGCCCGTGCACACAGACCCATATATCTTCCTTGATGCTGGAATCTGAGCTATTTCATCCCCACATATTTGCCTCCACCAGTTCAGATGTATAATTCTTCAGCACCAAAGATCCTTTTCGC